ACGTGTGCTCTTCCGATCTCCCCAAAACCCCAAAACCCCAAGAGTAAACATTAAACGTAAATATTCAATTTGTTAATTTAAAGAGAAAATATAGCTTAAAATTTAAACAAGTTAGAAGAAGATATTTATTATTAGTTGATTGAACATCTTAGCAGTTTTTTATTGCAAATTAAGTCAATTTAGTATATTAAAGTTATTAATTCACACTGACAGTAAAATTTACTCAGCAGCATTAGCTTCTTTTATCTACTTAGCTACCATTTTTAAGGCTGCTTACGCTATGAGCTTTTAATCGGCCATCATTTTTAGAAAACTTTGTTGATGATTTTGATGACATATTTGTGTGTGTCCTCTATCTATTACCAGCTGATGTCATGTTTATAGAATTTGTGCTAATTTATTTGCTTAAAGGTGATGGATTACCCCCACTTTGCATTGATTAATTCGAAGATCTTCTGCTTTTATAAGAAACTTAGGATCCTGTTTCGGATTCCTTAAATTCATATAAATTATCCCTATTGTGATGATAAAGCTATTTTGAGATATATTCTACTAGAGGTTTTATACCATATCCAGTTTTTGCTGATACCTCAACATAATGATCTATATTATGTCTTTTCATAAATTCAAGACCCTCTTCTTAAGTAACTTAACGCTTAAATTTTGTTTTTTAGTTTTCATCTATGTCTGCTTTATTTCCAACAAGGATTATTAATGCATCCTTTAAATTGCTCTATATATCATTTATCCAAATAGTTTCTAGATCTCTTAATGTTGATGCACTATATCAATTGTTATTTTCTTTGAATACTCATAATTATCATCAAAAGTTTTAGCCATTCAGAGTAAAAAATCATTTTATAAATACTGAATATACTTACTTATTGACTTCATAAACTAGTAAAACACAAGATGATCCTCTATAAAAAATTCTTGTAATAGAGTTGAATCTTTCCTAGCCACAAGAGTCCCAGAATTAAAGTTTGATAAAACTTTTCTTATTAACATGAGCCACTATTGTTGTGAACTCTGCTCCAATAGTTACCTCATGCTCCTCTGAAAATCTGTTATGTCCTATTCTTTTGATTATACATGATTTCCCCACACCACTGTTTCCTATAAGTATCAGTTTAAATGTCGCATCAAATCTCATATTTGATAAGGCTTATGGATCCTAGTAAATGTCACAAGAATAGTCTAAATCTGATGAAGCCGTTAATAGAGGTGTATTCATTGCTGTTGCATTTTCATTTTCTTAAGAATTAGTTTGCTTTGATGTCATTTTATGATTATATCAGTAACTTTGCTAAATTGTTTATATTATTGTAAATTTATAAAAAATTTGCTAATTATTTCCAAATAAAATCTCCTCTACTTATTATTATTGTCAACTCATTCTCATCATGGGGTTTTGGGGTTTTGGGG